CGTGGAAGGAAAGACACGGCCAGGATTTTCTATGATGGTGGAATCGTGTTTTAGATTTTGGAGCCGTTAACACTCGGTGGTCAGTGAACAGAGATTTGTCTCAGGATCCTCCTAAGTTTCGTTTACCAGGCGGGTTCTAACTTCAGCATCACGAAGCGACTGTAAACCACAGACAAATATGAGGCATTTGTATTGGTATTCTGTCATTGAACGCAGCTTGAAGTGTTCGCACTCGCGATCGACAGTGCTCGAAAACAGCAGGAAATCGTTTACCTCATTTTTTACCAGCTTGATAGCGGGTGTTGAACAATGATGCTTTTTCTCTAAAGGTTTCCGACAAACGGTTGGCCGTGTCCTCGAATGTGAGATCACGAGGATTTTGTGTTAGAATTGTATTAGTGTACCGTCCGTGTTCTTTGGTACCCAATTTGCGTAGCAAAAGTCGTACCTTCCATGCATCATAGGCCTTGGCAAAATGGACTCGGAATAAATCTCCCCATCGTTTGAACCACAAATCGAAAGTCACTCCCGAATCTGGATCATACATGAATTCACAAATGCTGGCAGCAATGGCATCTGCTGATGTGGATTGATTGTTTCGCGATGTTGAATCATGGGGCTGCAAACTAAACTGTCACATTATCGATTCCATCATTTTTAATTGGGCTGCTTCAAACCGTGATTGTTGTTGTTTCAGGATTGACTGTAACTGTTCGGCAGAAACTGACATCGTGAATTGGGAAATTTTCCCCGCCGCCAATTTGTTGTGTCGGGGCACAAATGCCCGGGATATCCCCGGTCAGTGCTTCCTCGATCGTCGAACCCCAATGGACAAGTAACCACGAACAGATGCGGAAAACTGTATTCAATTGTAACCAAAAATCAGTACTTTATATTATATGGGTCAGGGAATACGTAGACACATGGCGTTGTTATTGATTGTCCAGCGTGGTGCGCATATGTGATTGATTAATTCGGATCACAGTATGTCAAAGTCTGATTGACTTTATATATATATATATATATATATATATATATATATATATATCCGGCATGCGCTTTGTATCTTTAAAGTGCAAAATGATGTTGCAAGACTGAACGTCGATGTTTCCGAGCTTGATGCTCGATTGAGGGGTGCTGGCAGCTGTCGACCGCTTTAGTTACCTCGGCAGCAGCGGGACGACGGATGGGAGCACAGTAGTAGAGGTGAGTACGCGGATATCCAAGGCTCGAGCGGTGTACGCTGGACTGAAGCACATGTGGCACCGACTGGATACTTCAGTGAAGCTAAGAGGTCGTGTGTACTGTGTCGCGGTGCGTCCACCTTTGTTGTATGGTTGCCAGACTTGAGGTCTGTGTGCGAAATATATTTGTAGTCTTTAGGTTGTCGACAACCGGTGTTTGCGTAGTATCGCTACTATCGGATGGAATAACTGAGTGGGAAATGCTGCGGTCAGAAACCGAGTATTGGTTGCCAGTTCAGAGAATGTTCTGTCACAGCGTATCCAGATTAGTAGACTTCGTTGGTTGGGGCACGTGTTACGTATGGCAAACACGCGTCTACCGTACCATGCCCTGTTTTCCGTTCCTCTTCGGGAATGGAAAAAGCCACGTGGAGGTTAACAGATGACCTGGCAGAGAGGAATGAGAAAATGTACATCGAACTTAGAAAAATTAGATGCCTCACTTCTTTGTGGTTGGGGTCCAAATGATTCCTCAACCAGTTGGCTGGGGATATTAAAAGATACGGCAATGAATCGTGAACAGTGTTGATCGTGTTGTCACTTTCTGTCAAATCAGAGTGATTGATCGATGTGCGCTTTTACAGTAAGACAGTGTATTCCGTGTGTTGTCTGTAAGGGCGTTCTTTCTCCCACCCCTGTTGGTCCAGCAGTCGTCTCGTCCGGCTGTGCTCTGACCGCAGCTTGTTTCTGGCAAGTACGAACTTCTGTCGTTAGAAGGGGTATGAACGTGCATGGTGTCCTACGTCTCTACAGCATAGGACTCATTGACCATATTGTCGTTAGTCACCGCTGGCGTGGATCAGTTGAAGATTGTCGTTCATTTTGATCTATGCCTGTGGACTCGGATCACGCCGTGTCACATACTAACTTACTTTTACATGACTATCTCCCGTGAGGGGATAGGTCGGCTCCATGGATATCATTGACCATTGCTCACCACGCGCAGCAGTCGAAGGTGAGCCCGGTGCATGTCGTGATCCCGTGCTTTTTCCATCGCCGGACTCCACAGACCGACCGAAGACCTAGAAGTTTTACGTCTTTTCCTATTGTACTGGTCCATATTTGAAGCTTACACCAAGGGGAAAAATCCAACCAGGGAAGAATGTTTGTTTGGTTATCTCTAGCTCGGGTCGCCGAAGGGTATGACCAAACCACTGCAGTCGTCGACGTTGGAGAGGGACGGAGTGCGCATCAACATCAGAGCATTGTCTCCTTACCTCTTCGTTGGACGCTCCGCCATGCCATTTGACTTTGAGGATTTGCCGCATGCACCAGTGGTCGGAAACCTCCAGCCTTCTGCTATCCTCAGCTTGTAGTGGCCACGTTTCGTAGCCATAGATGAGGACGGGGCGGATGATGGCAAACACGAACTTTGGTCCTTAAGCTGATTTCACTGAGTCCACGGCGTTCGTTTTAGCTGAAAGAAGGCTGTCCTGGCGCTGTCGATCCGTGATACCACTTTATCTTTTGCCTGGCCATTGGGAAGCAGAGTTGAGCCCAGGTACTTGAATGAAGGGACGTATTCGACTGGTCGGTCATTGATGAACAGTTGTTGAATTGTCGGTCCGAGACGAGTTGTGTCACGTGATCGCTTGTGTTTACATTTTATCCGTGGTCACTCCGACGCTGAAGTTACCCGTCCCGTACAGTTGCTTCTAGACGAGAACCGATGATCTGCTTCTCATGCAGAGCTTCACGGCTATCGATGCAGCCTGATACCCAGAACCCAAATGAGTACTGGCAACAGATCAAAGAAGCCTTGTTTTCCGCACGAGACTACGGTTTAAGTAGGTCTCCTCAACGGTAGATTTCTTTGGCATCAGTTGCTCTGTCAGGTCCGGGTCTTTCCCTTCGGATGCCATATTCAATGAAGTGCGCAAATCCCTGAGGTGCCAACTGGCTAGGAGTTTGAGAAACGGCCGCATGTATCACGAAATGCAGGGAGATGGAGTAGGCTGTACATGTTAGTAATGGTTGCAACCTTAACCGGTTTATTGGAAGTACCGGTCCATGAAACCCAAATGTAAGTTAGGTAACCGAGGGGTCCGACGGATCACTGATTCACTCTCAGGAGCTTCGTCTAAACCGTTGGGCGGAGCAGTTCAGTTGGCCCACTTTCACAATGAACCTTCCAATAATGCCGGAGGGGAACAATACAGGTGGGTTGTTATGAACTCGAATGATTTAGCAACAGATTCAGAAAGAAAGCCAATTCGAATACCAGTGCATGTGCTCAAAAGTAAAGACACCAGAATGAGAAGCAAACGTCAAATTCGTTCCTACTATTCTTTCCCGCTGATTAAAATGTTAGTGTCGTATAGATGGGTAACTCGTCACCCAAAATTCCTGACTTTGTAGATTATATGCTCTTGTTCGCTGTTGTGCTTCCATAAATTCCTGAACATTTCGTGCCGAATCAGTAGTCCGAAACGACAGAGGACCTTCGTCTTCAGTTCGTCGATTAGATAGATAAAATGATATATATATATATATATATATATATATATATATATATATATATATATATATATATAGTCATGTATTGAGCGCGGGTAATCATTCTCTGGCCCAAATGATCTCTCTCCGGTGTCTTGGACATGTTTCGTGAATCCCGTACGATGACCTACCTTTCCGTGCTCTGTTTGCACGTGATAGACGAAGCGACGTTTCGGTAAAACCATGATTTGACATGGGGGTCTTAAGAAGTTGCGAGAGGATGAGCGAGCTTCGTGGATGTCCCAAAATGGCGCCCGCCCATGGCAGGTATTTGGACGAGAACTGCTCATGATGAGTTTTGGGAATTAGGTACGAATTGGTATTCCCAATGTCTCTCGGCTTTTTGTTCGAGGTAACAACTCTAGCCCTTGCACAACCAAATGTCACCTGTCGGGCAACGGGAAGTTTGTATGTCGAGAGCCGGTGACCGAGCGAGTGGTTTATACGATTTTTAGACGTCGGCCTGGGAGTTGAGTACGTCTAACGCGTCCTAGTGAATCTTACTCTACTTAGGATAGCTTAGTAAGTGGCAAGAGGGAATGACCTTATTCAGTGACGGGCCACATTCGCGCACGTCACGCTGTCTGTGGGTTTCTGTGGCTTTTATGTGGAGAATTCATTGCCAGGCGAAAAACCCGCTTCGTTGCTTCTGTCCAGCTACTCGCCGTTGGCGTGTCCTATATTGGCAACCCTGAAGGAGCGTTTTGTGCTCCAATTGGCATAGTCATAGGGTTTGTTGAATGAAAATAGATAAAACTCGTTCAGTAGGCTTCATTCGACAAACAGCTGACGCTTGAAATTAGGGAATAACAGTAAGAGAAAACGTACGAGTATTGTTTCCAGCGCAGGTTGTGATGGTTAAGACGTGTTATGCATGCCCACAAGTAGACTCCCATGGGATGGTTGTAAACATAACAGGACATGGCTAGATGCCGCGGTCAATGGTTTATTTGTATTCGAACTCTTTCTTTATCCATATGGTCTTCACTTTTAAGTCTTCAGATGTTTATCTTTCATCTATGCTTTGATTTACTCTAATTCAGATTGTATAATAATGCGAAGTAGAAACTGGAGCAAGTTGAGGCCGCATATCATGTAATGGATAACAATAACCTTGTGTAGTCTTGGCGAGATCCTTCATGGAAGCAAAATTCGAATGTTTTTGCTTAGACTGATAGTAACAGATCTTTGATGTACCGAAATTGTTAACTGTTGAGATACTAATCAGTCTATAACTCATTTTATCGACTTTTCCAGACGATGATTCGAAACTCTTCCTTACGTTTTATATGTATTGGCGTGTTTCGGAAAGACCGTTATTCATCCAATCTCGGTAGCAGAATACAGGCATTTCAAGCTATTTTGGATCGTTGGCCGGCTGACACATGTGGTCGTAAAATGACTTTTTCGAATGTAATTGCCAAAAGAATCCAACAGGCGATTGTCAATCCTTCCTCTCAAGCAAATCAAGCATTGCTCGATCAAGCTGAATATGATAGCTTGTCCCGTATTCTTGGTAACCACTATCGTGATAAATACAGAGTACCTTCTGGTTTGGGTCAGGGTGCATCTGATTCCACCGCGCCTCAGATAGCTGCCACTGGAGCTACTCTCCTTGAATGCCGGAGAATACTGTTTAATCAGGAGGAGTATCTCAAAAATCAGATCCCATTCAAAGATCGTTTTTGGACGATGCTCAAACGATTGTTTAGATCCGATTCTTCTCAACTGAAAAGTCGCCCGTGAATGAATGAGTTTGTAGTACGTTGTGTGAATATATTTTCCATTATAATTCACTGGTCTTTTCGTTGATTATGGATAAGGAAAAGATGTGTAATTTAGTCCCTTGGATGTACGCGTGCGGGTTTTACCTTCGTTCCATTTGGTGTCGGAAACAATAAAGATGAGCATTGCTGTGCAAAGCCTTTGTATGTCTTCTCCCCCTACCCCAGAATTGGAATATAATGACGATGATGCGCTTCTGCGTGAAGATTCGGGTAGGTTACAGGTTCTTTTTGCGATGTATTTTACACATTTAACGTATGGAACGTTGTTACAGGACTGATTTGGCCTTCCATCGCACCTTGTTCTAGCGGGATAATCTTTAGCTGAAATACATGAGTTTTGCTACCTGTTAAGGTACATCTCACCAGGTGGTCATATATCGAGTGAGATGTCGTTGCGCATACAGAAGACGCGTTCGACCTTTGCGAGTTCGAGTCATGTGACGTACGAGGTTTTGTACACTGTCTTGGGTCCGTCCTAATATGCGGCTCAGAAGCACGGCCGTTGTGGGTAGAATATATGCTAAGACTGTCTGTTTGAGTCTCGATATCGACTGTAGTAAGAATGCCAGGTTCAGCATAGGGTGTTTTGAACCACAGGTCAGTCACTGGAACAAGCACCGAATCCAGACAGATTAAGGTAACTGGGACGTGTTACTCATGCCCACCGGTAAACTTCCTTGGTGAACACTGCTCCCGATTGCAGGGTGGGTCGAAGTGATGAGCCCATGACATGGAAGAAGGTATGAAAATCTTAACCGTGTTGGTTGTATTGGTCTTCCGGGTTGGGTTCCACGAGACCCGCTTACCGAATGGTTGGAAACACTATGTAACATGACCAGGTGCCGCGGTCACTGGCATTTGGGCTCTGTCTTTCTTGGGATTTTCGCTTGTAACTTTTTTCGGTTCTGTTTCACTCCACACTGTTACTCATTTTGCCCTTGGCTTGATAGTGCTGCGAGGCAGCTACCAAAACCAGAGCATAGAAGTGATAAGTTGATGATTGAAAGAACTGAACTAACAGTAAGACTGCCTACCACTAATTAGGTCTTCCTACTAAATTGCGGTTGCCAAGGTTCTGATGTTCCCACGAAGCCGACCATTAAGCGTCTGCTTCTCACATGCGATGGATGTCTCATTAGATCGACGAGGAGTTAGCAGCGTGTACCACGCGATACTAATAATAAACGGAACTTTGCTTCACCCAGCTGATGCATTTTTCCTTCACTGCGAAATAAGAGGTACCTAAGTAGTAGAGCAACTGAAAGCTTGATTTCGGTCTGATGAGTAATGATAATAAAAACGACGGGGAAGAGGATCATATTTTGCTGAATTTGGTCAGATGATCTAACACGAACTACTTGATAATGGCAGGTGTGGTCCATTTGCTTAGTTTTAAGGAAGGGAAATATCGAATAATGGATATAGTACGATTAATTTCTGGTGGCTGCTTCGTGTTCATCTGCAGATAGACGAGTCAAATCCGATGCACGATAATTGGAGAAGAATAAGAGGTACATAAGATAAAAGTATGCATCTACCTTTCGAAAGATTTGTCGATGGAGAGCGTGATCGGTGAAATTTTCCAGTACGGAAAATTCGCGGTACGCATTTTACAGGATTTTATGACAGGCAGTCGAATAAGCCATATTTTATACAAACCTTGCCTCATGTTTTTATAAGTGTAATAAAAAGGTGGACCCATTAGCACCTAGGAAGTAACAAGAGACCTTAAGCCTGAGATTTGAAGTGCTGAACAGGCAAATTCTGGTGACCACGAAGCTGCCTGTCACTGGATTTTTTTCAGTGGCGACGTTGTTTACTGATTTTCATTCGCCAAGGATTTTTGCCTGTATTTTGCCAGCTTCAGTCACCTGTGGCACCGACATAACATCTGTTTATCTATCAAAAGTCCGGTGTGCGTTGCAGTAGTTAGGCGATTTCTTCGTAAACCTGGCCACTGTGGATGGACGATACACGGGGAATATCGGCATTCGAATACCGATGCCTTGGTAGTATTGTCCGAAACTGGTGGGAACACCGTATCAGTAATAATGAGGTCAGGCACGCGAAGCAAATCATTGGTGTATTCACAAAGTCTCAACACGCTCTTGAGAGGTCGAAATTCGCAGCTCACTTCTTCATTACCTGTTAGCCAGTAGTGTTTGCATCACTGGTTGGCCACACTCAATTTGCTTTCTCAGCTCGGCGTTCTGTGTAGTGCACTTCATTCCACATGATGCACCAATTCGGGCAGTTAGTCGAGTGCGGACACCGACGCTAACCAAGTGCAAACGAAGGCAGGCACTGTGACTCATATATGGTCAGCTAATTGAGTTGACAAGTCACATGACATAATGATGTACGTGTGTGCACTGTACAGAACGGTGAATTGAGAAACAAAGCCAGTTGGAGTCAACGAGTGATGGAGCATTGACGTAGGTGAAAAACATTGGTCCTTTGACCTGGCTATATCGATTACACTATGGTTGATGCAATGGTTAGTTTCCATTTGTGCTCTTTGGTATTCACGTGACTTGTTATGTCTCCGATATGGTCGACCCAGTATGATGCACGTTACTCTCCAGTAATCTGGGATATTTTGAGGATTAAAAGTTGATTGAATAATTTTTTTAATACTGAGATTGAAATGAGAGCAAATGCAGTAAGTACCCATGGTGAAAACCCATCTGGACTATGTCATATGATCAAACAAATCAGCAGTATGAAGAAGAATGTGGGCCGTTCAGTAGGCTTTATTCAACAAACAATTGACGCATGAAAGCTGGAAATAGAATAAACAGAATGACAGTTAGGGGTAATACTAAAGTGTTGTTCAATAGCGCATTCTCCCCCACGCAGTTTGATTGAACTCGAAAAATATGAATGAAATTACGCTTCTCTGTCACGAAGGTTATATGGTCGTGTTCTCTATTGCTGGATGTAGAGATGATGGGTCTTGAGTGCGGGGGATATCTGTTTGTGTTGTGTGACCGTCGTTTGGTGTATGAAAATGTGAATCGGTCGTATGGTCGTTGAGTGGAGTCTGCGCATTAGCGGGGTCCTCGTCTTGAGGAAGCAATGGTTGATTCTGAGCAGCCGGTGTCCGGTTACGAAGTGAGACTGTCTTCCCCCCCCCCCCCCCGTCGGGGGAACGAACAAGTGGGTATTGAGGGTTGTACTCCACCAAATGTATTTTGTCGACCAATGGGTCAGAAAAGGGTAAATTCCGGGTACGAATAAAATGAAGCATTCTGGTATCTCCGGGGTGGCACAAGGAGTCATAAAGTTTTCGAAGATTCAACTCACTGGACGACGTTGTGCAGCAGATGCGGGATAACGCGTCATCAGCTGTGTGACCTTTTCCTCGCCGATATACCACGTCAAAATTGTCACAAGATAGTTCGATACTCCACCGCTGAATCTAGTTCTTTATTCTGTATTTGTGCTTAAGTTCAAACACGAATGCAGCAGACTCCTAGTCAATGGCGATCGTTAAACGGGTACCGATAAGATAGTGGCGCTACTTCCGAACTGATTCACTAATGGCATACTCCTCACTTTCAACGGCTGAATGACGCTGTTCGATGGGAGTAAATGTTCGGGAGAAGAAAGCCACTGATCCGTCATTTCGAGGAAGCGTTGCAGCGTTAGCAACATCTGAGGCGTCGGTTTCCAGGACTAGGGTAACAGTATCGTCGGCGGAGACGACAACAGATTGCTCGATTTCCCTTTTGATATTTTTGAACGACTCGCTAACCGCAGACGAGAGAAGGGAACAACGATTATGAACGACTAGGTGGGTCTTGTCGGAGAAATGGGAGATCCACGACGGGCAGCAAGCAAATAGCACCACAATTCGCTACTGATACTTCAAGTTTGTGGGCAATGGCGTGTTCCTTGATGGTTGGAGTCGATCGGGGTCGGGTCGGATAGTCTTGTGAGAGACCTCAAACTGAAGTAGTTTTGTTGTTCGCAAGCGAATTGTACTCTTTGGTCCGCTGGATGTCAAACGGTTTTTCTGTGACCTCATAGGGTTTCCTTAAGTCTGAACCGTGCTCTTTGGTGGTTCCGCACACAATTATGTTGTCGACATACGCGAAGTTTGCATCCAGGCTTCCATCTTGTATTATTTTGCCAATTATTCTTTGAAAACAAGCAACCCCGTTAGTTACCCCGAACGGTATTTGGCAGAACTTACATAGGTTAACATAGGCTTCGAAGGCTGTGAATTTCCGACCGCTTGCTTTGATAGGCGCTCTTCAGGTCTAAGGTGCTGCACGCAGCGTAGCGTGAAATTTTGTCAGTGATGTCTATCCTAGGAAGAGGGTAGGTATCCAGGTGTGTGCACTGATTTACGGTCTGACTGTAGTCTACAATCACGCAACGTCTGGGGTTTTCATTTGTAGTCATCAGTACCTGAGCTCACCAAGATGAAGCAAAGGGTTTGCTTATACCGTCCAGTAACAATCTATGGACTTCCAATCGAAAGAACTTCACACCTGCTCCTGAGTGTCACCTTGATCTCGTATCAATCAGCTGGAAGTCCCCTGCGTCTTTCCGAACAACGATGACGACTCAATGTCGGCGGTTAGAACCCCACATAGGGGAAGTAAAGGGTAATCACCTAAAAACGAAATCTTGATAGACTGGCACAGCTTTGGGAAGTCATGTCATAGAACTACGTCGGAACAAAGGTTATGGAGAATAGAAAGCCTGATATGAGAGTATTGGCGATCTGTGTAACGTAGAGTAACGAAATTGGCCGTCTGTGAAGCGCGCCAAATGTGTTGCAGCCATTGAGATTGTGCAGCGTGATCCTGTAATATGCCATTTATGCCTTTGGACTACCGACGCCAAGCTGTAGCTCTCAGAGCTCCCCGTATCCACGCACCTTCAACGCGATGCTACGAATAAAGACTTCTGTGATCGAGATATAATGTCAGTGGGAAATTATAAGCCGACGTCTCGGTTACCGCGGGTAACCTTTCTCAAGGCAGTTTTACAGTCAAATAACTCTGAGGAATCAGTTACCAGTCAACGGTGTGTGTGTATACGTTAGATCGTCTGTCGATTAGATTGATCAGATTTTAGTCACACCGACTCCCATTATCCAAGCCTGTGGTGACGAGGTCAAGTGCCGATGTGACCTTTGGGCTGCTCATGTGTTAGTGATATCAGTCCGGTCCGAATTCCGGGAATCTCTGCCCCGTCATTTCGGTTGACGCATGCACGGTGGATGCTAATTACCAGAGCTTCGGCATACAAGCTCAGTGCATATTTTCAGTCCGTGTTGGACCATTCTTATGTTTTCGTAATCTACACTGTTCCTCGGCTGTGGCGTGAAGAGCGGTCACTGAATCCCGCTCCAGTCTCGCTAAGGCTGTCGTGATGGAGGGCTTGTATTTCTCTTTTCTTTTGTGTCCCATTATTCTAGTCTTCAGTTGTCTGAATGTTTGTCCAATATATTCAGCTGGACATTCCTTGCAATTGATTTTGTAAATGCAGTTGTTTTGGTCCTGCAAGTTGATCGAATCCTTGGCTTTGGAAAGGTGGCGAGACAAAGCATTATCAATCCGAAAGAATGTGCGGATATTATAATCGCTGAGAACTTTTTTGATTGCCTCAGCAGTGTCTCATCTGTATGGAATGCCAATGGAAGCCAGATAGTATTTACCTCCAGTAGCTTGTTCCGTTGCCTTATTTTTTTCCTTAATTAGTTTCTTACTAGATGTGTCGGGTAGTGATTATCGTGAAGGTCTTGGCTCAAGCGTCTCATTTCTTCTTCACTAGTGGTATCCTCATTACAGAGTTTTCTAACTCTTTTCGCTGCATCTTCACTAGTGCATACTGCAGTCGAGGTGATCATTTATACATGGTAAATTGAACGTTCTCATGAGATCAAAAGCAAAAGTGCACACACACACAACTAATGGTAGCAAATAAAAACGCGTTACCAAGGCAAGGCTAACGTAATTATCCATTCTCGCTATTTGCACAGTTGAGGGTGACGTTGGTTAATTGCTAATGCCTCCGCGTATCTCAATAATCGTCGATTGTTTGTGACATAAGTGACGGTGAACGCCGTGCTCAGAATAACACAGTGATTTGTCTACCACACGTGTTTCGTGATGGATGACCTGAGTGTTCTGCGTGCGTTCGATGACGTCACTGATTGTATCTGTCCGCTCATTGTTCTTTGTAACCAAACCGGAATATGTTCAACCATTCTATTACGCAGTTGTCTCTCCGTTCTGCCGATGTAGGTGGCTGAGCACCCACACTTAAACTGGTAAATGCAATTTGACTTGGCGTGGAGAGGCAGCGGTTCTTTTATCGATGGTAGTTTCATCCGGGAGGTTGTATAGAGAATGATGATCTTTGCGGCATAATACGTACGATTAACAGCACAGTTGAGGCGTCTGCTGATTAGGGTATTAATGTCATCACATTTGTAAGGTAACTGTAGGTAGGTTGTCAGTTTTGGGACTGTGGTAACTTTCGTTTTGCGCGGTGGTGGCTGTAAGTGATTGGATACAAATGATTTTGGATATCCGTTGGCCTCGAAAGTTTTGAACAAGATACGGCACTCTTCTTCCAGTGTGTCACTTGTACATATTTCGTGTGCCCTGTGGAACATGGCGCGGACGAGGCTGATTTTGTACTTTATGGGGGCAAAGCTGGTGAATTGTAGATACTGTCCTGACCACGTAGTTTTGCGATGGACTGATCTTCGGATTGCTCCACCGATTCGGCGGGTAATCTCAATATCTAGGAATACGATGTTGTTGTTGTCTTCCCCGTTTTTGGTTAGTTGAATGTTTGGGTGTATGGTGTTGAAGTGGTAGAACATTTTTTCACACTCGTCATTCGTGTTAGCAATGATGAATATATCGTCCACATAGCGTCGATAGAGAGTGGCCTGAGCTATGATTGATTTCATTTTTTGTTCGAGGTGCGAAACAAATATATCTGCCAGAACAGGTCCTAGAGGACTACCCATGGCAACTCCATCAATCTGCCGGTATCTCCATCCAAGGAAATGGAATTTTGCATTCGAGGTGCACAATAGTAATAGCCGTGACAGCTCACTGTTTGGTAATCCGATTGTCAAGTTGTTATCATCGATAATTTGGCAAATGATATCAACGGTCTCGTGAAGTGGGATATTTGTAAAGAGTGAATTAACATCCATTGTGAATAAGTACTTATTGTGGATGTTCACTTCGCTCAATAGCCCACACATTTCAAAACTATCTTTCACGTTGTTCTTCCCGACAAATTCCCTTACCGGTTTTAGTAGTTCCGCGAGCCATTTTGCTAGTTTGTGTTGCGGAGAGCTGGTCATACACAATATTGGTCGTAGTGGTATGTCATCTTTGCGTACTTTTGGCAAGCCGTACATTTGTGGCCTCACCGGTATCGATCAACTCAGCCTGGTCTGTTGGATTAATTTCATGAACTTCTGTGCTGATAAGATCCGTGAAACATGTGCATACGAAACAAAGCGACTGGAGAATTCGGTAATTCATGATCTGATGGTATCGTCGTTTTCCCAAGATCCGGAGAAAAACGTTAAAAATCTGTCATCTTACCAATTGAATCGACTTCAACTGGAGGCGTTGTCGTGTAGTCTCAACTATTATGTTCCTCCAAAGCATATTACCCGCATCGACTCACAGGCTAGATTTGAATTGTTCTACGAGCAGCTGTCCGGCTTACATCCAACGAACGAGGACGCCATGGGACGGTTCAAAGCAAAACTGGTGGACTTGGAGCACATGTACCGAACAAGCATCACGAAAGAGAATTGTCTTTTGACAAAGGACCACTATAAAGCTATCAATCAACTGAGGAGGAACCCTGACTTGATAATTCTTCAACCAAACAAAGGCTCAGGAGTAGTTGTTTTGAACAAATCAGACTACAGAGATAAAATGGAGTCCATACTAGGAGACGAAGAGAAATTCATACCGGACTCAAAGACTGACGACAGCAGCGAACTAGAAAAGAAAATAAGGACAGAGTTGGACAACCTTGTAAAAGCCAACTTGATCCCGGAATCCACAGCCAAGAGTTGAAGGTGCAAGGGAAGCCGAACACCACAAATGTACGGCTTGTCAAAAGTACGCAAAGATGACATACCACTACGACCAATATTGTCTATGACCAGCTCTCCGCAACACAAACTAGCAAAATGGCTCGCGGAACTACTAAAACCGGTAAGGGAATTTGTCGGGAAGAACAACGTGAAAGATAGTTTTGAAATGTGTGGGCTATTGAGCGAAGTGAACATCCACAATAAGTACTTATTCACAATGGATGTTAATTCACTCTTTACAAATATCCCACTTCACGAGACCGTTGATATCATTTGCCAAATTATCGATGATAACAACTTGACAATCGGATTACCAAACAGTGAGCTGTCACGGCTATTACTATTGTGCACCTCGAATGCAAAATTCCATTTCCTTGGATGGAGATACCGGCAGATTGATGGAGTTGCCATGGGTAGTCCTCTAGGACCTGTTCTGGCAGATATATTTGTTTCGCACCTCGAACAAAAAATGAAATCAATCATAGCTCAGGCCACTCTCTATCGACGCTATGTGGACGATATATTCATCATTGCTAACACGAATGACGAGTGTGAAAAAATGTTCTACCACTTCAACACCATACACCCAAACATTCAACTAACCAAAAACGGGGAAGACAACAACAACATCGTATTCCTAGATATTGAAATTACCCGCCGAATCGGTGGAGCAATCCGAAGATCAGTCCATCGCAAAACTACGTGGTCAGGACAGTATCTACAATTCACCAGCTTTGCCCCCATAAAGTACAAAATCAGCCTCGTCCGCGCCATGTTCCACAGGGCACACGAAATATGTACAAGTGACACACTGGAAGAAGAGTGCCGTATCTTGTTCAAAACTTTCGAGGCCAACGGATATCCAAAATCATTTGTATCCAATCACTTACAGCCACCACCGCGCAAAACGAAAGTTACCACAGTCCCAAAACTGACAACCTACCTACAGTTACCTTACAAATGTGATGACATTAATACCCTAATCAGCAGACGCCTCAACTGTGCTGTTAATCGTACGTATTATGCCGCAAAGATCATCATTCTCTATACAACCTCCCGGATGAAACTACCATCGATAAAAGAACCGCTGCCTCTCCACGCCAAGTCAAATTGCATTTACCAGTTTAAGTGTGGGTGCTCAGCCACCTACATCGGCAGAACGGAGAGACAACTGCGTAATAGAATGGTTGAACATATTCCGGTTTGGTTACAAAGAACAATGAGCGGACAGATACAATCAGTGACGTCATCGAACGCACGCAGAACACTCAGGTCATCCATCACGAAACACGTGTGGTAGACAAATCACTGTGTTATTCTGAGCACGGCGTTCACCGTCACTTATGTCACAAACAATCGACGATTATTGAGATACGCGGAGGCATTAGCAATTAACCAACGTCACCCTCAACTGTGCAAATAGCGAGAATGGATAATTACGTTAGCCTTGCCTTGGTAACGCGTTTTTATTTGCTACCATTAGTTGTGTGTGTGTGTGCACTTTTGCTTTTGATCTCATGAGAACGTTCAATTTACCATCTATAAATGATCACCTCGACTGCAGTATGCACTAGTGAAGATGCAGCGAAATGGTCCGGAATACATCGTACAAGCTAATGCTATTGACTTCTACGTTCAAATTTGTGTCGGGTAAGTTGTTCTCAATTTTCTAACTCGGTTGGATAAAGATGAGATAAGCGTTCGTTTTACGCAATGAGGATGAGCTGAATCGAAATGTATTTATCTATCCGAATATGTTGGTTCTCGATGAATACCGGTGGTGAATTTTTGGGAGTCATTCTTCCTCAGACGGCAGTCTAGAAAACTTATTACTCTGTCTCGATCATAAAGTTAGTGTCGCTGCATTGTTCGATAAGGAATTCATCCTTATACGTCTTATACAAACGCTGTGTGTAGGTCGAGTGAAACACTCTCCAAAGTACGGCTTGGAAACGAGTTCAATTATGGAAGCGTCTTGAATAGCTTCTCGACCGTTATGGATTTGAAGTTGCAATCTTGGCACATTGATTTCAGCTTCTGTAAAAACTGATCTAGGCATTCGTCAGTCTGTTACCGACACGTCACCAATAAGTGACGAGCAAAAATCGCATTCTTTGGTTTGATTTAAAGGGTTCTGAGTGTCTCCATGGCTGATTCATTGCTTTGGCATGCTTTGATATAATCATAGACGTTTTGGAACATAATTAGCAAGCGTTCGAAATGTATCGAGCTGAAGGAGTTCTATACCATTCAAAAAGAAAACGAATGTGTCGAACCAGTGAGTCTACTGTTTTGCTGCACTAGGACAGTTAGGTTCATCATCAAAACTTTCTGGTAGCAATATTCGACCCATTGTTTGCTGAATAAATTGTCATAGGATCAAACAAATCATTAGCATGAAGAACAAGAATGTGGACCATTCAGTAGACCTTATACAACAAACAATTGACGCACGGGAACAGGATCGTAGAGACGAATATCTACCGTTGTGACCAGGACACGGCACTTTACCAGTCTTTATTGGCCACTTCAAACCTTGTAAGTTGACCGAAACGCTTCGGTCAAATTCACTGAGTGGTTAGATTCAGTAAGGTATGAACACACAACGCTCGTAAGCACTTTAATTACTCCAGGTTGCAATCAAGTCGGATGGTGCTCAGGGACGTTCGGATAAAAACTTGGTTGTACGGCCAACGTACGCAGTTCCATAGGGACCGGTAAATCAGAATACACTCAATGAGGCTGCTGAATCCGACACCCTATTTTTAATTGGTAATACAGCAATGACTGGGATGTGAAAAAACGGGGCTTTGTCGCACAAAGGGTCTCATCAATACCTCCATGTCGAGTAGAATGTATGATATCCGCTAGGATGACCTCTTTCAGCAGCAAGTAGATGTATACTGAATTCTTTTGGGCATCTAATATATCAATTGTTTTTCAACTTGTCGCATTTTCTTGACGATAAAAAGTTCAGGATATCAGATTTAAAGGAATACATGGTTCAAAAATTGGAGTTTGTCGTTTAGTGTGTCTGCTGTACAGATTTTGTGTCCTCTAATAACCAAGCAACGAATTAGGTTTTGCTTCATTTTGAGTGGCATAAAGCTTTCGAAATGAATATATTGGCCATTCGGTATGATTTTCTCATGTTGAGCTAACCGTCGGCCAGACGGCCTAAGCAAGAAAGGCTATTCTGTTGTTTGCATTCTTTTCCATCGTAAACTGAACACTATAGTGGGCTACGTCGAGCGTATTTAGTAGAAACGTTAGGTGGACCACGTCGTCTGCCACAAATTACATCATGAACGTAGCGTTTACAAAGCACACACTGACTGATGGACGACTGTAGTTGATCATTCTCACTTTTCAACATGGAAACGTCGGTGAATAGTCGTCCCGTCTTTCTAACCATCGCTTTTTCATTGAATTTTAACTAGATGCTAAAAGTGCATACGAAGAAATTTGTAACCAGTTCATCCACTGGAAGATCCACATCAATGTTATTTCCTCAATGTAGTCACATAGATAACTAACAGTTTCATTGATCGGTACATTAGTGATTAGCGAGGTGACATCAGATAAAAATATTTGTTCCACTGCCAGATTTACGCCGGGTACAGTTTCCACAAAATCAATTTTGTCTCGTACACTATTTTCAGATGGCGGCTCTCGCTGGCTCCAGATAACCACTTGGCTATTGCACGGTGGGGTGATGTGTACATGTCTAAGTAGGTTTTGGGAGCAAGCGTTCCTTGTGAACTTTCGGCAGCCCATATAGTCTGAGAATTATCGTCCCAGTTGGGCGTATCCATTTGAACGTAGTTGCATCCCTCTTTACCTCGGTGATCGTAATATCCTGGAGATAGACTTTTCTATTTGGCTCGTTTAATCCTTCTTATTGGAGTTTTTGGTGAATTGGGCGCGTCACTCAATATTTCTTTGATCTAATTTAGTAGATCAATTTGTCCAGGGTTGCAATGCCTACACCTTTATCAAGTTTTGATCAAATGATCTCTATATTAGCCTGTTCAGGAATCTTTCTGTTGATGGTTTGCTGTCCCGATATTGGTAGCACTCATAGTCTAAATCGGGACGTGTCACACGCGCGCGGACCGTTGTCTCGCTTTTCCCCACCTCCTTTTTGACCCACTGTCTTTAGTTCAGTTTTGATCAATAAACATTATTCATACAAAATGTGGTGTAATGATTAGGAACCACTGAGAAGGAGCATGTTCACCACTTCGTTTTGTTCATCGTGTGATTCAGTGGATAACTCCTAGTAGTCAATTGTTGAATATTAGTAATGTGCGCGAAAGGAAAATTTGTGGGAGTTCACTGGTTTGGGAATTCACAACTTGCAAAGTGCCTTTTCAAAGACTGATTTATTTCTTTTCCTGGAAAATGTCCATCGTAGCATTTAAAAAGTCCAATTCAGCAAAACCATCCTTTTACTTTAATTCATTCTCAAGCCGTCTACAGATGACATGGAAGATCATTTGGATGGACATTGAATAAACACCAATTATGGATGAAGGATTGCTCTTGTCAAATGATTGGCTTATCTAGCTTACCTCTAGGCGATGGGATGATAGATTCATTTGACCTTGGCCAATTCTGGGCCGTGGAAGTTGAAGTGCCTGGACCAAAGGCTTTTGAGCGCAAAGGTCAAGTGTTAACTACTTTATTCCAATTGTCGCGATCATTATTAGAGTATGAAACCGAACATCCTTGCGTTTGTTTGGAGGGACACGATACACAACCTTGAAAGCAGTGTCCCGATTCATCTGATGCAATGTGTCAACTATCGACACATTACTCGCTAAGTTAGAAAGAACTACGTTGACGTCAACAATTGCCGGTTTCGGACATTACTATCCACATGTGGACGACATATTCTGTGTGGCTGATGCTACTTACGAACTAGACCCCATGCTAACAGGATTTAACAAGGCATAAGAAGCAGTACGCTTTGTAATTGAACTTGAAATGAGCAGTCAGCTACCGTTCTTCTTTAATGCTACTTTTAAAAGAATGGAAGATAATCGGAACCAGCCAAGTGTTTACCGAAAAAAAAACATGGAGTGACTAGTACTCTAATTTTAACAGTTTTGTTAGCTTCCAACAGAAGTGAAATATTTAGCTTTCAGAGCGAGGAAACTTTGTTCTGAGGAGCGTTTAGGGCACGACTGGATGCTCATTAGAAACACTACGTGAGAACAGTCACCCGGATCAGTTTGTCGAAAAAGTGCCTTAGGTCCTCATCGAATGGCTGAATATTTACCCCTCGGGGTGCATAAAATATTTACTTGACTGATTAAAACCGTTAGAAGGAAGGATCTTTTGATTAGCTTGTCTTTCAAAGGTGACACCGAGGAAAGAAATTCAAAGCACGTTCAATGTCGCCATCTTACGTTGTTCGAGGTGCTCTTCCAACCTAAGTTCAGAACAAGGATGTACTGTCGATGCTGACCTCACCAATGGTTGTATGTTCTTTCATGCATTTGCGGCACATTCAATGTAGGTCAAACGGTACGACAACTATTGCAATACGCAGGGTGCAGTGTTCTTCCGTGGGAGTTGCACGTGCTCGATCTGCAAAGGCACAGAGTTTAAACTCGGTGAGCACGAGTTTAGTAAGTGCATAAGCAAGCATAAACACTAACACCGATAAAGTTGGGCGTGGCGATCTGTTTGAGCGCGTTACATTATCCACTCGGATTAAAGAGCACCACCTACGGTGGTTACGTCGAGGGCAAACCGGATGGATGAGCAGTGCAATCTCAACGCACCTGGTTAGCATCGAACGTCAGATGAATCGGGACACTGCTTTCAAGGTTGTGTATCGTGTCCCTCCAAACAAACGCAAGGATGCTCGGTTCCATACTCTAATAATGATCGTGACAATTGGAATAAAGTAGTTAACACTTGACCTTTGCGCTCAAAAGCGTTTGGTCCAGGCACTTCAACTTCCACGGCCCAGAATTGGCCAAGGTCAAATGAATCTATCATCCCATCGCCTAGAGGTAAGCTAGATAAGCCAATCATTTGACAAGAACAATCCTTCATCCATAATTGGTGTTTATTCAATGTCTATCCGCATGATGTTTGGTGTACTATCTCCCATGAAATCCGTAAACGGCTTCAAAATAAATCACTGAAAAAAATTAATTCGCCGGGTCAAACTTTTTAAAGACTATCTTATTGCTTCGTGCGGCACGGTGATGACTACAAGGTTTCGATAGAAGGAAGGTATCCATTTGCTGTCGGCTGAAATATTTGTCGGTCTCAGAAACCAACTTATGTTACTTATGAATAGGTTTATATATGAAAAACATGCTCACCAAACAGTAATTCGTACTCTGTATACTAAAATAACTTTCTTGATAACCGGGCATAGCTATTCTGGCTGTATTTGAGGGTGAAGTCCTGTTTTGTTTTTGTCCTAGTATGTGCATCACGCAGTTACTTGCGAGAAGTAGCTCAACTGCGCTGTAGTGTCCATCAACAAAGAACATCCTCTCCATGATTTTCTCTTCTAGTAGACGCTGCAAACAAGCCATTTCAATTTTTTAGCAGACATTGTAAACATGCCCAATGCACTTAACTGGTGGAGTCCGGTTAGTACAAAGGGAAATCCTGCTGTAGGC